ATTGATCCTTTTACCATTATGTAATGTCCTTCTTCGTTTCTTTTAGTCTTTGTTACCATTAAAGTCTATTTTGTCAGAGATGAAAGTTACAACTCCTTTTTTTTTTTTTTCTCCATTTGATTGGTGAGTCTTCCTCCAATCCTTTGAGTCTTTATATGTCCTTGCTTAAGAGATGAATCTGGATACAGCATACCGAAGGGTTTTGACTTTTTATTCAATTAGCCTGACTGTGTCTTTGATTGGGGCATTTAATCCATTTAAATCTAGGATTAATATTGATTTTTGTGAGTTTAATATTGTCATTTAATGCTAGTTGGCTATTTTGCCCATTAGTTGATATAGATTCTTCATTATGGAGATACTCTTTACCTTTTGGTAAGTTTTTGGGATGACTGATACTGGTTGTTCCTTTCTGTGTGTAGTGCTTCTTTTAGAAGCTCTTGTAAAGCAGGCCTGATGAAATCTCTGAGTGCTTGCTTGTTCATGAAAAATTTTATTTTTCCTTCATTTATGAAGCTTAGTTTGGCTGGATATGAGATTCTGGGTTAAAAATTCATTTCTTTGAGGATATTGAATATTGACCCCACTCTCTTCTAGTTTGTAGGGTGTCAGCTGAGAGATCTGCTGTGAGTCTGATAGGCTTCCCTTTATGGGTAGCCTGACCTTTCTCTCTAGCTGCCCTTAGAATTTTCTCCTTTATTTCAACCCTGGTGAATCTAACGATTATGTGTCTTGGGGTTGCTCTACTTGAGGAATATCTTTGTGGTGTTCTCTCTATTACCTGAAGTTGAGTATTGTCCTGCCTTACTAGGTTAGGAAAGTTTTCCTGAATAATACCCTGAAGAATATTTTCCAGCTTGGATTCATTCTCTTCGTGACATTCAGGTACACCTATCAAATGTAAATTAGGTCTTTTCACATAGTCCCATATTTCTTGGAGACTTTGCTCATTCCTTTTTACTCTTTCTTCTCTAATCTTGTTTTCTCATTTCATTTCATTTCATTAAGTTGGTCTTTGACCTCTGATATCCTTTCTTCTGCTTGATCAATTTGACTGTTAAAACCTGTTCATGCTTCATGGAGTTCTCGTATTGTATTCTTCAGTTCTATTAATTCACTTATATTCCTCTCTAAATTGTCTATTCTCGTTAGGATTTCGTCAAACCTTTTTTCAAGGTTCTTAGTTTCTTTACATTGGGCTAGAACATGTTCTTTTAACTCACAGGAGTTTCTTATTGTCCACATTCTGAAGCCTAATTCTGTTAATGGAATGCACTTGTTCTCCATCAGGCCTTGTTGCCTTGTTGATGAGGAACTGTGATCCCCTGTAGAGGGAGAGGCATTCTGATTTTGAGTATTCTCAGCCTTTTTAGGCTGGTTTCTTCCCATCATTGTAAATTTATCCACCTGTGGTCTTTGTAATTACCGACTTTCAAATTAGGTCTCTGTGTGTATGTCCAACTTGTTGACTCCCAGCACCGGAATCTGAGCAACCCACTGCGCCGACTAAAGCAGCAGCATTAAGATTCATGTTGCTTTTCTGCCCAGGAATCTCTGGTCTGGCTTCCTTCTTGAGTCCCTTTTTCAATCAGCTGAATGGGCGACTCTGCCTTCTCGGAGCTCCAAATGGCGACCAAAAGGGGACCCAGTCCGTTTACTCTGCACCAAGAACTGCCGCGCCTGGGTGCCGGCAAAACCGCCGCGCCAGCCTCAAGAGTCGCGCTGGCAACCCGTGGGGCTCCTCCGCTGGGAATCTCCTGGTCCGTGAGCAACAAAAATTCATCTGAAAGTGTGGCGTCCTCCAGTTCTCTGCGCTTTCACGGGAAGCTACAATCCTGAGCTGCTAGCGATCAGCCATCTTGGATCTCTCCAATTTTATTGATTGATTGATTTTATTTTATTTTATTGAGACAGAGTTTCATTGTATTACCTAGGCTGGAGTGCAGTGATGTAATCTTGGCTTACTGCAACCTCTGCTTCCCGGGTTCAAGTGATTCTCCTGCAGCACGTGATAGGTTAACTTTAATATCATCTTAACACACACAAAAATTTTAATTAACTTGACCATTTGTTCTGTCATAATCAGTTGATCCTTACAGAATTTACAGAGAGACAAAAAACTAAAGATTTTTCTGTGGCTATTTTGAGAAGACCTAAAAATGAAATAGTTTCTGACCATCTAAATTTTGCCATCCAAAATATAGCATTGAACAGCATAAGCATCCTAACACTTCACTAATTAAAAATAAAAGACTAATCACATTCATTGAAACATCAATTGATACAATTGTAAACCAAATAAATTCTTTTTCAGATATCATTTCAGTTCATGATTTGAACTCAAATTCTTCTGAAGGGGAAAACTCCTTGTAATCTATTTTACAAATTAAGGAGCTTTCTAATTAAATTAATTTGTTACCACACTATGCTAAAAGTTGGGGGAGGGAAGATGTTTATCCTAAGTGATTAAAACGAGTCAGAGGGAGGAAGGAGATGACAGCCCCAGGCTTGGAGCCACATCTCACTTTAATTTTCTTTCACTGGTGGGTTATAAACATGATCAATGACATTTTTTTTGTCTCCTCACCCTTTTTTTGGGTCTTAAAAATGTTCTGTAGAGATGGGTGGAGAAGGAGGGTGGGGTATCTCTCTATGTTGTCCAGGCTGGTCTTAAACTCCTACTTCAAGTGATTCTCCTGCCTCAGCATCCCACAGTGCTGGGATTACAGGTGTGAGCCATGGCACTCAGCTGATGTAAGGACTTTAATGACCTTAAAATATTCTAGAATAACCATTAGGAAATATGTGTAGATTTTGTGCTTTCTTATAGCAGACGTGTGTCTATGGTGACTGACTGCCCTGCAGTCATCTTCTTAAGATCTACATAATCTCCACAAGTGACTTCATTCCTTCTGAACCTGTTTTTGATGTGTAGAATGTGGATACTATATAACTCATACAGTTTCTAGAAGGTTAAGTTAAATGGCCTATGTCCATAAAAATGTTATTTAACATAAATATGTCAGGCAAATCAATTAGAGAATACATTCTATAACTTTTGTCATTTTGGATTATATAACAACACATGGAGCAAACAAGATACTACATAAACCTTATTTAGTAATGCAAACATAATTACTGCATTTACTTATAAATTATCATATCAAAAGTGTGATGCATAATCATTTTCCTTTTGAAAAATGCATATATAATAATTTTTAAAAATAAATGACAGTTTTATTTAGTAGGAAACCTTTGCTGATCTTTGCAATTTATTGGATGTAACTACTTCCAGAGAAACAAAGAAAGGGGTTAGTGCCACAGCTCTTTTGCAAGAACCCATCAGCATCATCTATCTTCTCTAGCCCTGCCTTGCCTCATCACATTCCTCTTTCAGTATGTGCTTCTGGACTATGTCCTGCTCAGTAGCAAATGAGTATGTCTTATAAAATTTGTGAAATTTTTGCAACATGAAATAGCTTCTGACAGAGTGATTTTCAAATTGCCCCATTAAGATCCACATCATGGATAGTGGATTGCACCTCTATAGTAGGTATCCCGTTACCCAGTCTTTGTGTCCTAGTAATAGAATTTTAGGTGAGGGCATTTCCCAGCCTTGCTTAAATAGTATATAAAACTACCAGGAAATCTCTCTAAAGGATAGGAGTCCTACTTTCCCTTTTTCTCCTTCCCTTTGAAATGTGGATGGGAAAGTGGGAGCTAGAACAACTGCCTTGAACCATGACATGGAAACCATACTTTGAGGTCTGCAGAACAAATGAGAAATAATCCCGTCTTCATGATGTAACAGACCATCACATTAGCCCTTGGCTATTCTGCTTGGATGGTTATGTGAGATTTTTTGGGTCTTGTTGAAGCGGCCAAACTACACCTTAGTGAATACGGTTTCTATGACTTAAGCACAGAATCCAGATAAATCACAGTCAGGCAGAGCAATCGCTACTTACCTGAACTATAACAAATCATTTCTAAGCTTTATAGTAAATTCTTTCTAAATAATAGTTCTATCATTTGGACCTTCTAACATGCATGGTAACTTAATTTGCTCTTTTTCCTTTAAGTCCTTTAAAATTAAAAAGAGAGAAAAAAAAACTTTCCTATACTGAGTTCCTCACTTTTAAAAAAGTTACTTATTTAGTCTCATATGATAAAGACATAAAGGAAAACGAACGTTATATCTTTTCACAGTGAACATATTCTAGACTCTCTGACCAGTAAACATTGATTATAAAACATTTTCCCATGAAAGATAATAATAAAATACTTCCTACTATAATCTTGCTCTTTGACTCGGCATTTTGTCTGTGTTCAGTTAAAGTCGTCGTCTGGTTAGTACTGTACCCATGTGATGGGTCATCAAATACAGTTTGTACAGCATGTCCTTAACCACAGTGACCTCTGTCAGTGATATATAATCAGATTATTACTATCTCAACTACTCATACAGCTTTGAGTATTTGAACACCCTTAGCCAGTGAGTATTAAAGTGAACAATTCCAGGAGGCCGGGAGTGCAGTGAAACTCGCGTGGGCTTTGAATTCAGATGTGTCTGGATTTCAATCCTGGCATTGACACTTACAGCCCTATTTCCCCTGGGTTAAACCCTTGACTTCTCTTAGTCTGTATCTGTAAATGAGGGTAATAACATCTATTTCACAGCCTAGCTGAAAAGAGTGCTTCATTCCTTGTAGGTGCTCAGTAAATGATGACTCCTTGGCCCCTACGAGATTGTTCTGACATAATGTCCACAGGTGAGCATGAAATATTTGACCGCTGTTTCTGGGGACTTATTCAGTGTATTTACCTATTGTCAATATTGAAGGGTATTACTGGCCTTGCTCATAGAATTTGGAGCACCCACCTCCTTTTTAATTATAATGAAATCCACGAGGAATGGAAAAGGAGCAACTGGGTGCTCTCAGATGTGCCATAGCCTAAGCAGTTAACTTCTTAGCTCCTCCCCATCTTGTCCACCTCACCTTGTTATCTTTTGGAGACTTTGGAACAAATTTCGTTGGCAGCTTGGGCTTCTGTGGCGACGATGTCTTTGAGAAGATGAACCACAACTCAGCCCACTTTTACGTTGTGTAAGTGGGAGTCAGGAGACCTGTAGCATCCATTTCCATCCAGCCACTGAACAGGGGTGCGAACCTAGGTAAGGAAAGATGGGCAAAGAAGGGAGGGGAGCGTCACATACTGGTGTCTGTGGGAGACGAGGGGAGGGACAACAGGGGGTAGGGAGATTGGGGAGGGATAACATGGGGAGAAATGCCAGATATAGTTGATGGGGGGGATGGAGGCAGCAAATCACATTGCCGTGTATGTAGTACCTACGCAACAATCCTGCATGATCTGCACATGTACCCCAGAACCTAAAGTATAATAAAAAATATATAAATAAATAAATGAATAAATAAATAAATAAGAATGTTTTGAGTGCTTACTATGCGCTTTGTCATGTGTTAGACCGTTGGTATCGTTATTTAATTTCATCTTCCCAAGAGGCCTGTGATATAAGTATTCTTATACCCTTTTCAGGTGAAGAAACCAAGGTTTCCTTGCACTAAGTAACCTGCTCTGAAATTATTGCATCAGAAATTGAACCCAGCACTAGCTTATTTCAAAGCTCTGTCTCTTTTGCTATGTATAATAAAATGCTGCCTCTTTGACCCAATTGAACCAATGTTTCGTCTGCAAAATGCTGTGGGACGGATGTTCCACAAGTTCCTTTATACTCTCAAATGCTATAATTCCATCCTCTTCATTCTAAATGTGGGAATATAAAACTTACTAAGCTTTTTAAAGACTTAATAAGTCTTTCTCCAATAAATGTTCACACTATCTTCGACTCAGTATAATTGATACTTTTATATGTAAAAGATATAAAAAGAGTGAATACGTATAATTGGCCATAGGGAGCAAAGAATTAGGTACCTGTTTTCTGTAGGCATCATATTTTCAGAAAACTCCTGTTTAAAATCTAAATTCTTTTATTTCTTTATTTTTAAAAATTCTGATTATACAACATAACACAAATGAAACAATTCATAATCCATGATGTGTTGAAAGAAGAAAGGGATTCACCAAGAACAACTGAGCCCAACAACAGTCACTGTGGGCATGTTACAGCTGAAGGAGCCAGGAGTACAAAAGATCATTAACTTAATTCCATTTTACTCTTCCTGGGTTGGCTAAATAGTCAACACAGCAACATCAAACACCGAGCTTCCTTCATTTGTCACATACATTTTAAGTTCAAAGATGTGAGTCTCGCAATGATTTGGAAAAAAAAAAAAATATTTGCCTTCTTTGGTGCCATAATGCTTTAATGTTTTTCTCTCTTGAATAGCAAGACCAGTTCTTGCATAGGTACGCATGTGGCAATGTGGTTTGCTGCCTCCAACCCCCCGTCACCTACATCTGGCATTTCTCCCCATGTTATCCCTCCTCAACCTCCCCACCTCCCCACCATGCTGTCCCTCCCTTACCCCCCCCACAGACCCCAGTGTGTGATGCTCCCCTCCCTGTGTCCCTGTGTTCTCATTGTTCAACACCCACCTATGAGTGAGAACATGCAGTGTTTGATTTAGATGCGGCAGGTCTATGCTGGAGCACAACGGTAATACCTTTCAAGTGGCAAATTCAGTTTCATATTTATGGATACAGCTGCCTTAGTCATAATTGGTAAGTCTCCATCTCAGTCACCAAGAAATGGTACATTTGGTTGGGATTTATTATTTCTATTCATTGTCCTTTGTATACCTATTTGAACAAAAAGAGGAGGCTACCCCTTTCTTTTCATTGTCAGTAAGCTTGCACTTTTGTGAAACACATTAGAAACTGTATTTTGCTTTAGTTTATAATATAGTGCTATTGGAAGCTGCTGAAAATTAAAGGTATTTAAAAGAGATGCAGAGAACATATTTTCAACCACTCAATAAACTGTAGATGCCGATTCATGATGGAATGGGCATTTAAGTAAAGTGACAGAGGTGCAGAGGTTACAGCTTCTGAGGCAGATGTTCTGTGAAAATGTAACCTGGTCCATTTCACTGCCGTTTCTTTAACAGTATATTTATGATATACTCTAGCTGACTCACTTTATGGACCATATTTTGCAAATGTAAAATTCACGATTTTGATTCCAGGTTTTATTACCACTGGAACCTCCATGGCACAATGCATGAGTTTTATGCACATGAGGCTTCCACTGGTGTCATGCACATTGTGAACTTCTGGCAAGGACAAATGACTCAACTCTCCCATGGAGCTGGAATCGCAGGGCCCCTTACATTGCTTCCAAATTTTGCAATTAATCAGCCCCACACATATGTTTTGGGTGTGTACTTTGCACAAGGGCACAAATACTACAGCATGACTTCTGGGGTAACTTGATTCATTGGCAGCCTACTTTAGCTCTCCTTAGCTTACACCCAAGCTTTGACCTAATTAAGCACGTATTAATACTTGGTGCTTAAAAAAAGAAAGTTTATTTAAACAGTGTGTAAACAAAAAGTAAAACATAAAAAAGGCACTGCCTTCTCCCCCTAATCTGTCATTCCTGCTTCTAACATGGAAGCTTCTCTGAGCTCAGGCATTCAGACATGTTCACATGGATGTAAAGAAGAAGGCATGTGATGTCAATAAGCTCCCTGAGATATGACAGTGGTGCCGGGCTATCAAATTTATTTGCTTTGCTTATTGTTTTTATGATAAAGTCAAATGAGTTTCAGGTGAGTCTCAGATTATGGTCTGAGCTAGTTAAATGTGCTCCATAGCAGTCCTAAACCTGACGGGAGCTCTCTTCTGAGCTCCATGAGTTCTGTTGATATTTAGGCTAACCCTTTGACAAGAATATTGCCAAGTAGTAAGCTAACATTTTGGGGATCCGTTTTCTTTCTCATTGGATGAGCAAGTATATGACAGTGAGGCAAGGATGGAGGACTTCACTAGAAGGATAAATCTCGATCAGGGTCGGGTGGGGGCGGGCTGCTGCAGTTCACATCTTGTTTGTTCAGATAAGGGCATTGAGACCCAGCTTCATTCTTCTTGGCATCCCCTGTCAGAACCACCACAGCAACCAGCAAGGAGGAACACAGAACAATCATCTGCAGAGGAAATTTCCTACCACGTAAGCTGATGCCTCACTACTCTTTCTCTTTCAAACCATGGTTGGCTAACAAACATATGAAAAAAATGCTCCTCATCACTGATTATTAGAGAAATGCAAATCAAAAACACATTGAGATACCACCTCATGCCAGTTAGAATGGCGATCATTAAAAAATCTGGAGACAACAGATGCTGGAGAGGATGTGGAGAAATAGGAACACTTTTACACTGTTGGTGGGAGCGTAAATTAGTTCAACCATTGTGGAAGACAGTGTGGCAATTCCTCAAGGACTTGGAAATAGAAATTCCATTTGACCCGGCAATCCCATTACTGGGTATATACCAAAAGGATTATAAATCATTCTATTATAAAGACACATGCACACGTATGTTCTTAGCAGCACTGTTTACAATAGCAAAGACCTGGAACCAACCCAAATGTCCATTGATGATAGACTGGACAAGGAAAATGTGGCACATATACACCATGGAATGCTATGCAGCCATAAGAAATGATGAGTTCGTGTCCTTTGTAGGGACTTGGATGAATCTGGAAACCATCATTCTCAGCAAACTGACATAAGAACTGAAAATGAAACACTGCACGTTCTCACCCATAGGTGGGTGTTGAACAATGAGAACACAGGGACACAGGGAGGGGAGCATCACACACTGGGGTCTGTGGGGGGGGGGTAAGGGAGGGACAGCATGGTGGGGAAGTGGGGAGGTCGAGGAGGGATAACATGGGGAGAAATGCCAGATGTAGGTGATGGGGGGTTGGAGGCAGCAAACCACATTGCCACATGTGTACCTATGCAACAATCCTGCATGATCTGCACATGTACCCTAGAACCTAAAGTACAATTTAAAAAAACAAACCATGGTCCAATAGTTGCAGAGTGGACTTTGAAACTATCCTTTTATGAGAGTGACCAACACCCAGTCACTGTCCAGTGGATGGCTTATAACTTGGCTATCATGGTACTTTAAAATATGCAATTTTTAAAAAAAATTTTGCAGCCACAAAAATTGGTAGCACCTCATTTAATTCTCATGGCAGCCCACACAAAGAGAAGCTTTAAGGGCGAGGCATCTTGGGTTTAAATCTTGGCATCATCGCTTTCTAGCTATATGGCCCTGCTGCTTCCCTGTGTCTAAATTCCCTTTCATCTTTATAGCTACCCTGTATAACAACTACAATGTCTCCACCTTACAAATGTGGAAAATGTCAGAGATGCTGGAAAATTGCTTTGAATTCAGTCTTCTCCAAAAAATTCTCATGTACTTTCTCCTGCTCTTTGTTTCCACTAAAACCACAGTCAATCCAAACTGTTATTTTTCATCAGCCCACTGCATTAATCAGATTGTTCTCTCTTACATTGACATTTTCTCAAACAACTGACCTCTCACCAACCCATTCTCTCCATGGCAGCCAGAATGATCTTCTTATAAACATATCTAAGCATGTGTCATGTTCTGCTTAACACATTTGGTTTCTCATCATTGCTCTGAAGACGAACACAAAATCATTAACAAGGCCTATAAGGAAAGGTGTCCTCTAGCACCTGCCTATCTAGTCAGCTGATCTCACAAGACTTTGCTCCTTGTTCTCCTTAGTAAGTTAAGAAAGGTAAGAAATGGGCATCTTGTCACCTGAATCACTTTCCAAAGATAAGCCTAGTATAGAAAACATTAGACACGTGTTTCCTTGGGGTCCTGTCACACCCCACAGTCTGATTCAAACTGTCCTCAGCTAAAATGTGCATACATGCTCCAACCCTTATAAATCGGTAGCTTAGAAAAGAGAATGCATTTTCCTATAGACCCTGTGTTACAAAAAACAATTAAATTTCAAGGCCATAAAAGCCTATTTTGCCTACAAGGTAGCAAAACTCTTCTACCGAAAATGTCATAGCTTCCTATTTGACAAAATAACAATACTTGACAAACTAATAATAGCTAATATTTATTTAGTACTTACAAAATTCCAGGTTTTCTTTTCAGCATTTAATGTATATTAACTACCCCCAAATTTATGAA